AAGGAACAGTGAGGAGATGTGGAGAGAACATGGGAACGCTGCTGACATATAATATAGTTTGAGTTCTGGATGGTACTGTTCTCTCTCCATCCACACTGCTTTTCTTCATTTTCCTGGATATTCTAGCGATTTTGTTTTTCCAAATGAATTTTGTTATTATTTCATTAAATTCTATGAATAAATAAATTCTATAAATTCTGTTAAAAATTCTGTAAATACCCCTTGGTGATTTGATTGTATAGCATTAAAAGTATAAATTAATTTTGGTAGCATTATATTTATTATACTGACCAGGCCTACCCATGAACATTGAATATTCCTCTAGCTATTTAAGTTGTTCATTTGTTCCTTCCTTCCTTCCTTCCTTCCTTCCTTCCTTCCTTCCTTCCTTCCTTCCTTCCTTCCTTCCTTCCTTCCTTCCTTCCTTCCTTTGTGAGTCATTTGGGGTTAAGTGACTTGCCCGGAGTCACACAGCTAGTGAGTGTTATGTATCTGAGACTGGATTTGAACTCAGGTCCTCCTGACTCCAGGGCCAATGCTCTATCCACTGCACCACCTAGCTGCCCCTCTTTATTTCTTTAAGGACTAATCTTTTTAAGTCTTTAGTGTACTTTGGTAGGTCAGTACCCAGGTGTATTATGCATTTTGTAGTTATTTGGAATAGGATTTCCCTTTCTATTATTGCTTCTTGTGTTTTGTCATTGTTATATAGAAATGCTATTGATTTTTGAGGATTTGTTTTCCTGCAACTTTGCTCAAACAATTAATTGTCTCAATATCTTTGCTGATTCTTTAGGATTTTCCAAGTAAATCATCATATCTTCAGCAGATAAGAAGTAGTTTTGTCGCCTCTATCTCTCTTTATGCCTTTTGATTTCATTTTCTTGACTTATTGCTATTGCTAGAATTATATAAAATTATATTAGAGAGGATGGGCAACCTTGTTTCATTCTCATATCTTTTTGTTTGCTTGTTTGTTTTTTGGTGAGGAAATTGGGATTAAGTGACTTGCCCAGGGTCCCACATCTAGTAAGTGCGAAGTGTCTGAGGTCAGATTTGAGCTCAAGTCCTCCTGACTCCAAGGCTGGAGCTCTGTCCACTACGCCACCTAGCTGACCCTCTCCTGTCTTTTTGGAAAAGGTTCTAGTGTATCCTCATTGCATATGATGCTTGCTTGTGATTTTAGATAGATGCTCTTTATGATGTAAGAACAAAGGTCTTTTTTCTGTGCTTGTACTTTGTAGAGTTTTTAGCATAAAAGAGCATTGTATTTTGTCAAAGGCTTTTTTTTTCATCTATTGAGATGGCCATGCATTTTGGGTGTTTTGATTTTTAAAAAGGTTAATGATTTTGATTGTTTTAAACCATCCTTTCAGTTTTGGTATAACTCCAACTTGGTCATAATGGATGATTTATTGTGTAAATCTTTGTAGTCTGTTTGGCAGGATTCTGTGTACAATTTTTGAGTCAATGTTCATGAATGATATTGGCCTGTAGTTTTCTTGCTGTGTTTTATCTTTCCCTGGTTTTGGTCCTAAGACTATATTTATCTCATGCAAAGATTTTGGTAGTCTCTCAACTCTAGTTTCTACAGCAATTTGTTCAGTTCCGTATTTTCTCTTTTGTTTGTCTTTCTCTTAGTCTTGTCCAAAACTCAGAGGGGAATATTTAAGTCTGCTGACATCATTGTGTTACTGTCTGGTTTTTTTTTTTTTGGTAACTCAGACGTTTCCTTTATTGGTTTGGATACTAAAGTATTTAGAGGTTTATTACTCATATTGATTTGTTGATTATCGGTTTCGTGCTTATACTGATTTGTTGTCTATGGTTCCTTTCAGCATAATATGGTTTCCTTGTTTATCTGTTTTTATTTTTTGATTTTTTTTTGTTTTATCAGATAACATGATAGTAACTCCTGATTTTTTGGATTTACTTGATGTGTAGTAACCCCCGCCCCCCATTTCCTCAGGTTTATTTTGTATTGTTTTTATTTTTGAAATGTGTTTCTTATAAACAACAGACTGTAGAGTTTTGCTATCTAATCTGTCATTCATTTTTGTTTTATTGGATTTTTTTAATCCATTCACACTTGAAGTGATGGGAGTTAGGTTTATATTTTCTTCCATCGGTCTCTAATATTGGGATTTTTTCAAGATATGATTTTTTTCCTTTTCTGTAAACAAAGTGCTATGTTCCTTCACTTACTTTACCTTTAATCTTTTTTAAGGTAGCCCTGTTCCCACTGGCTCTCTTCTCCTCAGCCCTTGACCCCCTTCTCTCTTTTGTCACCTCTTTCCCTTTGGAGTTCCATTTATTAATTTATTTTTCTTTCCTGCTTTTATCTTGGATCTGGAGGACATATTTCCTTCTGTTGTTAATGTTTGCCCTATTGATTTATCTGCTTATGTTCAGAGTCCTTGGGTTTTCTTCTTTCTGGGATCTTTGGTAGTTTCAATCATTTCCCCCTCTCATTTTCCCCTATTTACTTTCTCATTGTCCCTTTTGATGGTGGTTTCCTTGGATTCTGGATCTCTCAGTGTCTCAGTCTTCTCCCACGCTGAGGTGGTTCATCAGCCTAGGTTTCTGTCCCAAGTGACTTTTGTAGGGTCAGAACTGCCTGCAGGTAGATGCCAAGCTTTTCCCCTCAGCCTTAGTGGAGGGATGCACAGGGTCTACCATCCCTCTCCTTACCCCCCCCCCAATTCCCCACAGACTCACAACATGGTGCCCTGTCCCCTCTAGTCTCTGGCATGGCACAGGTTGTTCAGAGAGCTGATGCCATGGGCTTGTTTGCCCTGGCATAATTACTTCAGTTTTGCCTTTCTGGTGCCAGGGGGTTGGCCTAATTTCCACAGCCTGGAGTGGGGTCTCTATGGCACTGGAAGGAGGGAGAGTAGACTTAGGTCTAAGGATGGATTTTGTTGGGAACCTGTGTCAGGTTCTTGAGTCTGCTAACGCAGCCTCGCTGCTAATAGTGTGGGAGGTAGGTGAGGGGTGCACCATGTGTCTACAAGAAGCCTTTGCCCGACTAGAGTCTCCCACTGCATCCTAGGCCATCTCTTGCCATCTGGATCTATGTCTTACCACTGGATCCAGATGATTCTGGAGGATAAAGTGAGGCTGGTGACTTTGCAGAGCCCTCCCTCACTTAAATCTAATTCACTTGCAAGTCATGGCATCATCTCCCTGATGTCAGGGTCCTCTTTGAGAACAAAGGACGAACAACAACCCCTGTGAGTAGGAGTAGGAGCTGCCCCCTGGGGACCCAGCTGGAACTGGCCATCCAGCAGCACAGTCTTCTCTCTCTCCCCTCTCCCCTCTCCCCTTTCTCCCCTCTCCCCTCTCTCTCCTCCCCTCTCCCCTCTCCCCTCTCCCCTCTCCCCTCTCCTCTCCCTCCTCTCCACTCTCCCCTCTCCCCTCTCTCCTCTCCCCTCTCCCCTCTCCCCTCTCTCTCCTCTCCCCTCTCCCCTCTCCCCTCTCTCTCCTCTCCCCTCTCCCCTCTCCCTTTCTCTCTCCCTCTCCCCCTCTCCCCTCTCCCCTCTCCCCTCTCCCCTCTCCCCTCTCTCCCCTCTCCCCTCTCCCCTCTCCCTCTCTCCTCTCTCCTCTCTCCTCTCTCCTCTCTCTCTCTCTCTCTTTTCCCCTCCTGTCCCTTCCCTCTGCCCACATAGGGTATCATACCCTGACTGTAGACACTCTTTCCAAAGGAATGTGAGAAGTTGTGGGGATCACGGAAGACATCTAGTCCACCATCATGTTTCTCACTTTCATGATAGACCTCTAAGTGGGATGTGGCAGTTTGTTTACCCTCTAGTATGCCTGCGTCCTGGTGAGGTTACTCTCTGCTCAACTGATAGGGATGGGGAAACATAATTAGTGTTTGCTGAATGCTTTGAAATCCTCAAGATGAAAGGCACTGAGCAAGTGGGAGGTCACACTCCCACACCTGAGCCTCCTTACTCTTCAGTACCCTTCATCCACTCTGCTGGTGCACAAACATGGCATCCTCTTGCTGCTTTAGCATGACTCCCACAGTATGTTACTGCCCCTGCATACCACATCTGAAAACAGGACTCTCTGCACCCAGAATGCACACTCGCTTCTATATCAAATATGTCCCACTTCAATCCAACATCTAGAAAAACCCACTCTCCCCACTGGCAGCAAATGCTCTCATGAACTGCATATTATGTTTAATGTGTACTCCGCCCCCCTTCCCTATCACAGTTGGTTTTCTCTGGTGAGGAGTGGCATGCCATGATTTTAAAATGCACCCATACATCATGAATATCATGTATTATATTTCCTTCTCTGCCCACCTCAAAAAAATCCATGAAGTAGCCTTTGCTTAGACCCTAATAGAACAGAACTGTCTGTTCTTAGCTCACAGCTACATTTCTGTGTGACCTGGAATGAGTCATAGAACCTTCTTTGACCCTTAAATTTCCCTCCATGGGGAATGGAGGAAAAGAGGAATGTTAGCTCCCTTGACTCTGAGGGAGGGATGCTGTGGGTGAGGATGAACAGATTTCTTCTTAGGCCCTTTGACATCCTAGAGTTAGGAGAGACTGGATGCTTCTGGCCTTGCCTGGGTGGGGAATCCAGGCCAGCTTCTTAGGAGCACATCAGATGACAGATAGCAGAGGTGAATGTTATTTTCTATGGCGCTTGGCTGAAAACTCAAAAAAGTATGGAACCCTGTGGAAAAGAAAAACGACAGGGTACTCCAGATATATGATCATTTTGGTCAGAGACCAGGGTGCGCTGGGTTAGAGTGTGGTTAAAGCAAGAGTGTACGGTGCTGTGAACTGTCCAATCCTGTTGGGACTGTAATTTCAGGAAGCTCTGGTATGTTGCTAGTACCAACCTTGGATCATTTGTGTCAGTACAGGAAAGCCAAAGGAGATGGAAGGTCCTTTTCTGTTGGAAAACTTCGGAGGAAGCCTGGCAAATGAATGTCTCTTTTTTGTAACCACTGCTTTACCCTGGTTTTTGTCTTGCAGATTTTTCCACCCAGGTCAATCCCACATCCCTGAATTCGCCCACTGGCAGAGGGTCCATGGCTGCACCCTCCCTGCACCCGTCCATTGGCCCAGGCCTTGGCTCATCGCTCGGCTCGTCCAGCCAGCTGCACTCACCCATCAGCACCCTCAGCTCCCCCATCAATGGCATGGGCCCTCCCTTCTCTGTCATCAGCTCCCCCATGGGGCCTCACTCAATGTCTGTCCCCACAACTCCCACCCTTGGGTTTGGGACGGGCAGCCCTCAGGTGAGTAGCCAAAGAAGACAGCTGCTGTTGGTTGGGTTTATGGGCATTGAAACTTTATATATGGTGACTCTAGCATTGAAAATAGTGATGTTATGGATGATGAAGATAACGTGGTCTCTTCTGTGTTCAAAGATGATGTCAATCTACCACTGGGCTGCATTTCCAGCAATGGGCTTATTGAACCAGCCTTAGTTCTTACCTTGTCCCTTTTTTGGTGATCAAGATATACTGATGTCTCTATGGGCAGGGGCTAGTCTATAGTTTGGGTTAGGATTCATTCTGTGGTTGAGGTTGGAGGTCAGTGAAATGCAGTGAAAATGTACCCAGGAAAGTGTGATTTATTTTGTAACTTTATCCATTACATTTTGTCATCTAGAGTATGCATTTCAGCAAAAACATATCTGCCAGTATTTTATCACACTTTTTATTAAATATTTAGGGAAAGTCCACCTTTGGATGCCAATTTATAGTTTCTGGGACCTTCCTCTTAGTTACTGAAAATTGAAAGTAAAATTCTGAGTTGTCTCTTTTTTTTCTAGAAAATACACTGATTTATTTAAAATTCTGCCCCATCACCAGAAGAGTTTTCATTTTTGTACCTTCTTTCTTATTATTTGGTGGGGGAAGGTAATTTCTTTTACACATAATATCTCACACTCTTGCTCTAGAGATTAAGAAAAATTTGGTACCTATTAAGTATATGGCCAGGGTTAGGGATCATTCTGTGCCCAAGATAACTGGAGGATGGGATCAGTCCATGGCTGGAGTTAGGGCTTAATCTGCGTCTGAGCGAGCTAATTGGCCTGTTTGGGGGATCAGATCTATAAGTTCAAACTCATGAGTCCCGTGCTCTAACCATAGTGCCTAGCCCTCCTCCAGACCTCTATAGCTGTGATCATGCACTGCACCTGGCCACTGGCTCCATTAGATGGTGTTAATTACAAGGCTGTTGCCTACATGGGATATTATTGGGCCAGGGTCTGTCCCAAGCAGATTCTATGAACCTAGACCCTGCCCTCAAGGAGCTTTCTGTTTCATGGAACTGAGAAGGAACTTTAATGACCAACAAGCCCAACCCTTTCATTTTACAGATCAGGAAACTGAGGTCCAGAGACATTACCGACTTGTCCAAGGTCACACAAGGCAGTAGGTGTGAGAACCAGAGTTCAGTTTGACCCTCTTTCTATTGCGCTGTGACTGTCTTTCGCTGCCCACTCACTCTCCTACAGTGGCTGTGAGCACAGGAGTCTCAGGATCAGAAGAACGGATGGGGGAGAGTGTAGCTCCAGGGTGGAGGGTGATGGGGTGGGTTCCTAGGTTCATTTCTTCACTGAGCAATTACTAAGGAATAATGATGATTTGTAGCTCACTGCAGGGCCAGATACACTAATTGGGATTTGGCAAACATCTGGCAGAGGGCTTAGCTTTCTGTCATCTTAGGACCTCTCCCACCGCCTGCCCCATTCCCTAGTGCTGCCATCAGCACTAATGGGAGATGGCTGCACCCCTGTACCCCTAAGTACAGTTCGATAGAGGGTGACCCAGAACCCTTAGGGAAAGTCAGGGAGTATCCAAGCCAGAACCACCTTCTTCACTCAGAAATCCTTCTCTTCGCTCTTGGCAGTACTCTGTTGAAATTGCACCTAAAACTGGAAGTGTGAGCAGACCCCCCAAATCTGAAATACGTGCCACGAAACAAGCCCTTGGTTCTAGTTCCAGCCGTTCCACTGTTGTTCAGGGTGGCCTTAGGAGGGTCACCTCCTTTCTGTATACCTCATCAGGCCCTCTAACGTGAGGGGATGGGACTAGAAGATTTCTCAGGTCTTTCCTACCTCTAAGGTTCTGTGATCCCATCAGATAGCTTGTGTGTCCAAATGGGAAGAAGCTCTTCTCCAGGGAATCCCATAGGTACCATCATTCATGGACTTTCCCAGGCAAGATTCTGACTCCTCTCCTCTAAGACTTTGCTATCCACTCCCAGAAAATTAGGATCATAGTGTTTTGAACAGGAGTTCTTAACGTAGGGTCTATGAACGTACACGTGTGTGTGTGTGTGTGTGTGTGTGTGTGTGTGTGTGTGTGTATGTGTGTTTATAAATATTTTAATGTCTGAACTTTTAGTACTGTGTCCCAAAAGTCTTAGTGCAGCTTTGAGCTTGAATAGCTTAGTATATATATATGAGTAGAATTGAAGATTCACATTCCATGCTATCTCCTTGTGAGAGCTTTAATGACTTAAAACTGCACTAAGACTTTTGGGACACCCTGTATAATTAGTTTCCTTTGTAGTGCTATGGATTTTATGGATTTAAAAACTTTCTGAAGGGGGGCCCATAGGCTTCACCAGATTTCCAAAGGGGTGGAACCTCTGATTTAGATTTAGATTAAGATTAAGTTCCTTGGAGATGATCTAATCTAAGCCTCTAATTTTACAGTTATGAAATCAAGGGCAAGAGAGGTTGAGTGGCTTGCCCAGGGTCCCACAAATAGCATAATGCCCGGTCCAGGTTGTTGTTGTTCAGTTGTTTTAGCTGTCTCTAACTCTTTGTGACTCCGTCTGGCATTTTCTTGGCAAAGATACTGGAGTGGTTTGCCATATCCTTCTCCAGGGTCATTGTGCAGATGAGGAAACTGAGGCAAGCAGAGTTAAGTGACTTGTCCAAAGTCATACACCTAATAAGTGTCTGAGACTCAGGTCTTCCTGACTGCAGGCCATGTGCTTTCTCCACTGTGCCACCTAACTGTCCCTAGGTCCTATGATTGGTCCATAGTAGGTGATTAATAAATGCTCCTAGGATAGTAAGGATTTGAACCTTAGAATACTTGACTCCACACTCCACACAGCACCCATAAATAGATTGTAGGATTTGCATTAGGGTAAGTCCAGCCATAATACCACACTCTGCTCCCCCTTCAACCCAGTGTGAGCTTTGGGGGGGTGGGAAACAGGGGTCCTGTGGAGAGGTCAGCAGCTGTTAGGCAATATGCTGATTCATCTCCTTCTTGGCCCTCTTCCCCTCATACCCCCCTCCTGTTCCCCAGCCCAGAAGAAAATACCCTTGCTTGGCTGGCTTTGAAGGGCCAGCCCTTTATCACCAGGCTCCTCCCCGGCTGGGGTGCTTGGCTTCACAGTGAGCAAAGACTGGGCCTAGCTCCCATTGTCTTGGTGCCAGGTGGCGGTCAGCCTTGTTTTCCTACCCTCTTTCCCCTCTTCCCTTCTGCACTGCTGCCCCTCAGCAGCGGGTGGCGGGGAGGCAGAGGTGCTGATTGCAGATTATGTCAAACCTACAGCCATCCTGGGCATGAACTCATTAAAAATAGCCATTCTGGCCGCCTGGCTGTCCTGCTCTGCCACCTGTTCTCCATGAGCTGAACGCTACCCACTTAGCAGAAGGGCAGATTAAGAAATTTGCCACCAGGATTTTATTTATTGGGTCCTTGGGATCTGTTGGAGTCAAGACACCTGCTGGCTCTCTCCTTTCTGATTCATTGCTTCTTTACTTTGGCCCTGTGACCAGGATGGTTGTGAGAGTCATGCCCTTAGTGGGGCGAAGGCTGGGGGCAGTCCCTAGGAGGGCAGTTGGGTGTTTGCCTGAGTGAACGAACCTGTTTTACAGTTCACTACAATTTTATTCATATACACACAAACATATATGTGTCTATGTATACATATATATATGTATATACATGTATTGTTTGTTGTATAGTTGTTTTTAGGTGTGTCTGACTCTTCATTTTTTTCTTGGCAAAGGTACGGGAGTGGTTTGCCATTTCCTTCTCCAGCTCATTTGACAGATGAGGAAACTGAGGCAGACAGGGTCACACAGCTAGTCTGAGGCTGGATTTGAACTTGGGTCTCCCTGATTACAGGCCCGGAACTCTATGCAGTGTGCTATGAAGAACTTTTTAATGGGCAAGTTACCAGTGTTACAAAGGGAAAAATAAAATTGTTCTTGCCCTCCAGAAGCTGGTAGTCTACTGGCCTTTGGGTATACATATAGAAGCTTACATATATTTGGAGTATGGACGCTCTACTATATTGTGTGGCTTCCCTGGGGTGTTGTCTGATGGACAAGTCGAATTAGTGCCCCATCACCTTGAAGGCTCATTACCTTTACTCCGGTATTCTCTAGGCAGCAGAACAGACTTCAGGTAATATGTAAGGAAGAACTTTCTAAGCACAAGCACTGCTTTGTGTGGTAGTGAGGTCCCTGTCACTAGATGTATCCAAGCATGGTACCACGTATCAGTGATGATCTAGAGGGAGTGACTGTGTAGGGTTGTATTAGATGACCTCTGACATCATTTTAAAGTAGAAAGAACTCTGGAATTAGAGTCCTGAGACCCGGGCTTGACCAGTGGGCTTTGAGAAAAGTGCTTTCCCAAACTCCTAAAATATTATATAAATGTGATTATGATGATTCTCATTCTTGATCCAAAAATCTGCCTCTGCATGCTCTGTCATAGGAGTGTGGGGGTCTATGAATTAGCCAGGGAAGCTAGAGTCAAGGGACCTGGGCCTGGTGGGCCTGTGAGTGGATGAGGGACAAATCTTCCTTGTACAGGGACATTCAGTTTAAGTTCATTAAACATTTATTAAATTCCTGTTATGTGCCAGGCACTACGCAAGGTTCTAGAGGTAAAAAGACAAGAATGAAACAGTCTTTGTCCTCAAAGAGCTTGAGTTTCATAGGATATCAGTGGGGGCAGACCCCTCATTGGTTTTCCACTCCAAATGGTCCTCCTCACAGAATAGTCCCTGGCTACCTTCCTCTGCTCTTACAAGCTGCAGAACTGGGCACACAGAAAGGCATAGGGGCAAGACCAGAATGGTCAAGTCCAGGCCTGGGGGTTCTCAGACAAAACGAGATCCTTCGTACAGCAGGCTCAACCTCTTACTTTGGCCCCAGGAACCAGACAGCATTCCTTCTGCTTAGTCATACTCTCTGGGCCTGTTTTCAGACTGAATAAGGGAGACCCCTCCCTCCCAGCCTGGGTTG